GCTGTTTTCGGTATGTTTACGTGAATTTATGGCTATTTTATTCACTTTTATTTTCGCTTTACAATTTACAAGTTCTTTACGAATAGTTGCTCATCTTAAATTTTATTAAATGTTTTTAATAATGCTGCGCTAATGAAACTACACGTTTAGTTATTTGTTATATATCGTTACATGATTCTCATTGACAGCTATTTTTCTTGGTGGGGCTTGATATCCTGAAGTATATGTGAATAGGTAATGGAGTTATTCTGCTTGATTTTTTAGATTTGTGATTCTCATGGCTGATAATCGTCTTTGTTATCACGTTCAAAGTCAGCCTCTTTTCTTGTTGTATATCAAGTACTGCGATAACTAACTTTATAGGGTAGATGAAGATATTTTGAGTGCATAACTAGTTAATGAATCAAACGGTATTACACATACATAAATCTGCTGCTAAATGTTTAATGACTATTACAATAAAGAGCAATTTTATAATGTTTTGCCTATTAATACCTAAAATTAATATCTATTTCATATACCTGCATATGTGACTCAGCTATATCGATAAATATCAAAGGAGAATACCATACACATTTAAAATGTCAGATTTGTTGTCTCATTCAAAGTCCAAGTTCACCTTTCAGTGTGTGTATCGTAGAATTACCATAAGCGTAATTAGTATATTGTATACAGCTCATCGATAAGATGGTTTCGGTCTTGCATCAACCTTTAGTCTAATCAATCACTAGTTAAGCTAGGATAACACTTCACCGAGTTTTCAATGGAGGATGTTAAATTAGTCATTAAAAAGCTCAGGAAGCATGGGCTAATTAGATAAAATGCCAGTTAGTTTTGAATCTTATCCCTCATAAACGTCTTTTATACATTTAGAGTCCTAAAACAGCCTAAGAAGATAGTGTCACTGTCAGGCCACTATAGATGATGCTAAAAATGAAATATCTTGTACAATATAGTATAAACCACATTTCTGAAGTGTTTTTTTGCCCATTCCTGGCCTGATCCTATTTCATACTAAAGTAGGAAATTATCGTTATTAATCAACAAGTATTGCCTATAGTTAGCCCTAGATCGTACATCTCAAGTTACTTCCTCAGCTCATTCTTTGCCTCAATTATTCACATAAAACAAATTCATGGATATAATCTAATTATATTCCTATATTGTAAGGCTTCCCTAAGCTAATTTCCCGTCAATCTAGCCAAGTAACTATGCTTGTTTGAATACACCTGGATAAAACGTATTATGACAGAGAGCAAATTGTTGGCTTTATTTGTCGAGTATCGGCTACCATCAAGACTTTCATAGCCGATTATTATGGATACCAAGTAGGTTGTCCAATTTTTTAAATCTTTATACTAGTTTAATATAATAGGTATTATTAATGATTATATTGCCTCTAGAATTACTCAAAAGCCTAAATATCTCATAGAAATAAGCAAGCTCAAGCATTATTTTTTTCTCTACTAATCCAAGCATTTATTTGACATACTTTCCATTCAAATTAAGCCCATGAATTTTACAATGGTATCATTGGTTTAGTTGTCAGTGTCAAGTTTTATCAGCCTATTGAAATCTGTTGACTAGGTATATGATCTTTTTTGACCATTTTTAAAATGAAATACTCGCTCACTCTAAAGCTATTTTTTATTCTCTTGCCTAGTAGCCAGTAATCCGTATTTTTGATTGACTACTATCTAATCTCTATCACTTGCTAGATGCTACTACTTAGCGCTTGCCTATATGCAAGGAAAAAAATTCACCGAGTGTTCGGCCCTCCTTGATCGTGCCCGCAGCTTGGCTTGCCAAACTATTGAAGCATTGTCCGAATCTGCCCAGTCGTCTGATGATTACAGCACTTCTGTTCGCTCATATGCTGAGGAAGTGGTCCCTGGCCCAACAGCCTATGATTTAATTAATCAGCTACGGGCCCTTGACCAACAGGCGAGTGTTGAACAATTGACTTGCTGCGCCGGGCGGATGCTTGAGCTAGCTGGAGGCTCTGATGCAGCTTCTGCGGCTGAGGAAGATGAAGCAGAGTTAGCTAGAGGCTCCATCTCCATAGAGGTAAAATATCTTTGTGAAGGCGTAAATAAAAGAAATGCACGGCGTGTATGAGCACAAGCTGGGTTTTCTTTGTGGTCAACGTCAAGTTATTGTTTTTCCACATAAGTGACCCAGGAAATTTTATTAAGTTATTACAATTTTTCATATTTTAGAACATTCTTTATAAATGCAGCAATAGTTGCTATGACTGGATAAAATTGGCTCTAAACTATAATCGAGCGCTCGAATAAGTGGTTTTTTGTTTTGTACGTTGTCACGTAAAAGGTTATAGTTGTCTAAATTAATGGGTGAGTTTATAACCTAATAAGAAAACTTAGAAAGAAAAAGCAAATAGATTTGAGGACAGACAAGCGAGGGGCAGCTTATCTAGATAAAATAAGGCAGGCTCTAACCGATTTTTAAACGTTAAGAATTATAGAAGTTGTTTGC